GTAATAACTCTATAACCAGACGTCTCTCCCCTCCCCAGGAACGGATGGACTGGGGAAGCCCCTTATGTGCAAACGGTCCAGGTGAGAATGGAAACTTACACTGAGATTCAGTGTGAAGGCAGCCATTGGAGGCAAAGCCAGCAGAGTGATTCAGCCACAAGGCATGTCCAGAGCAGCCAGGGAGGAGACCCTCTGTTGCGGACAGTCCTGAGATCGGTGCGGTCCCTGGCTAGCCTGCCGCCAGTTCTCCTGGGGTGCTGCCTTGTGTGGATGGTACCTCAGGGCTTTAGTTTCCCTTCTGGGCTGAGAAAATACCCCATGTCCTGAGAAACTTGATGGCTAGTGGTCAAGTGCACTGTGGCCAGCAGTGCAATCTATGTTAGCGGAGGCCGAGAGCATGGGCTTGGGGGTCGAGTCCTGGCTTTGTCACTTGCTAGCTCTGTGTCCCGGCACAGGTGACTGTGCCTCTCTGAGCCTTGGTTTGCTTAATGGGAAAACGGGGTGCTATGAGGAGTAAATGGGTTAATTGATGTAAAGACCTTAGCATGGGGCCAGGCCCACCTGGAGTGCTCAGTACAGCTCGACTAGTATATTGATCATAAAACATAAGCTTGTCACAACAGACCTTCTTTCCCCAATTAAGTTCATTCTCCAGGGTCAAAACTGACTTCTGTACCTCTAGCCACATCCTCTCGCCCAGTTTTGCACTAACTGTAGCCGCCCACAGTGAGATTTCTAGATAAACCAAGACAGCACTCTGTGGCCAGGGCTGTGTGACTCTGGGCGAATTGCCCCACCTCTCCGAGCTTCAGTTTCCTTGTCTATAAGGGGGTGCAAACCACACAACCTACTTAGGATGCGGGGCTGAATTCACCCAAGCTCCGAGGGTTCTCTGTAAGTAGCCGAGTGCCCGGCCAGCGGAGGAGAAGCCATCAGAGCGCAGGGCGAGGCTGACCGGCTGGTCCAGATGGATGCTGGACCAGGGACCTTGGCCTCTTTAGAACCCTCCTTCAGGGCAGCAAGCTGAACAACCTGGATATGCGGTGACACGCGGGATTTTAAAGTGACCGCTCCCAAGTGCCGAAGGTCCCAGAAGCCCCCAGGTTTCCTTTCCTTACACGGCCGCCACCTGCCAGGCCCACCTCGTCCCCAGAATCGAGGGTGAGACTGTGTCTAGGCTAAACGTCACCTCTCTCCCCAGCTAAGGGCCAGCATTTCCAAACATCAGGCCTAGGGACACCCCGTGACGGCAAGGAGCTAGAGGAAACAGGAGACTAGGTCTCCGTCCAAGAGGAAAGACGGAAGGAAAGAAATGAGGCCAAGAGAGCAGGAGAGTCAAGGGCACCGCTGAGAACCAGAGACAGCCCCAGCCTCTGCTCGGCCCCCGGAAGCCGTGGCCTGCTGACTGTGACCTGGATGTGGGGCTCTGGGCCTGGTGGGCAGCTGGCTTCCCCGGGCATCCAGATTCCGGGTGCCGGCTCTGACCCCCCACCCCCACCCCAAAAAGCAGCCTGGATGGGGAAGCCACTGGGAGGAGGAGTCATTTCCAGGCAGCCATGTGCTCCAAGGGACTTGAATCCTCCCCGGCCGGCCAAGCCCCGAGAGTGGCGCTGAAGCCCATTTTGTCTCTGGGCTTCCATCTCCTGACTTGGGATGCTGACAGTTAGCAAGGCACTTGTTTCCGCCCCCTGGGGGGCCGTTTGGTGATTTCTGAGGGCACTTTTGGTTGTTCCGACGATGGTGAGGGCTCCCGGCATCACGGTCGAAAGGAGTTGGGGATGGCCCAGGGGCAAACCCACACAAGGAAGAAGGGTTGCACCTGCCAGGCAACCTTAGCACATCAACGAAGATGGAACACAAGCTTACATTTCTGAGCCAGGACCCCGATTCGGTCTTACATAAAAATGGCTTCAACATATACTCAGTTTTCCATGCAGGCAGCCATTGGGTAAAGACAGAACATCATTTTACTGGAAGTCTGTCACCATTTCAGAAGATCACACCACCGCGACACTGCTGGTGGCATCAGAGCTGCCAAAACAACACACCTGGGTCCATGTGCATTCGACACTGTCCTGAGCAGACCAATTCTCTGTTTAGGGGCAAACAGCGGAGTCCCGATAGATGAAATTATAGCTTCTGTTATTATAAATTACTTTTATGCTTGGTCTCCTTTATCTTATAGTTTGGGCATTGTTAGCTCCTGGTTAATAAAGGGGGCATTTAAAAATATTTGTAGGGGCTGCCAGGTGGCTCAGTCGGGTAGCGTCCGGCTCAGGTCATGATCTCACAGTTCGTGAGTTTGAGCCCTGCGTTGGGCTCTGTGCTGATGGCTCAGAGCCTGGAACCTGCTTTGGATTCTGTGTTTCCCTCTCTCTCTCTGCCCCTCCCCTGCTCGCACTTTGTCTCTCAAAATAAATCAATGTTAAAAAAATTAAAAAATACTTATTAAAGTGGGGGAGGGGCTTTGAGTCCAGCACAGGTGTGGGCCATTGAGCCAGGGGACCCTGCGCTATTATTGGATAATACTCCTCCTGAGAACCGTGTACCTTTGCGGGGTTCATGGAGCCCGGACCTTGCCCGGGGCCACTTCCTTCCAAACTGTACCTCCTCCAAAGCAGGGTTTTCTGCTCCTTTTGGTCACTGGAGGGAGGACCGTGATGGATGAGGGCAGGCTGAGAGCAGGGGGGCAGCCTCCCAATTTGGGAAAATAGGTCGGCCACAGGAGACCCCGTGCCCCCATCCTCAGGGAAACAAAGGCTGCTTTTTGGAGTCGGGTGTTTGAAGACCCCCCTCAGGCCTGACTCCTATTAAATCCTTTGTATGTGACAACCTCACCCAAGCCTAGTGTCCTGCATCGGGCTTTTGTATCCTGCACTGCCAGCTGGGAGAGGGTCCCACTGGCTTCTCGGAGGGGGAGGGCCGAGCTCCCAATTATGAGAGGGACCCTCCGGGGGACTTCTCTATATCATAAAGGGAGAGTCAGGCTCCCAGGTCTGGGGCGGGGCTGAAATAAAGCCCCAGGGAATTCTGATGCTTACAACCCCAGGCACACCTCGTGCACAGCTGAGAGTCAGAACCCAGTGTACGGATCATTAAATACAGCCTCCGGGAGGGGACTGTCACTCTCATTCAGGGTCCTGTTGCTCTTTCTGGGAGAAGGGGGTGTCGAGGAGCAGCGGGGAGGCATATACATAGAGAATGCGGAGGAAGAGGTTGTGCTCAGATTTTGACGGGGGTGGGGGGGAGGGGGGCACGTCTAGTGCCTCCTTGAAAACCTGCCCAATGACCCATTCTGGATTCTACAGTTGATTTAGGATGCTAGTCCATGCTAGTCCTGGGGGAACCGGGCCCCAGATCTCTGTAAGCCCGGACAGCCCTGAGGACCGATCTCGGCCCCAAGCTCTGGGAAGGAAGGTCAGGATACTAGGGGCCCCCCACCCACTCGCCCTCCCCGAGAGGGTCACACCATGTCCTGTGTGCTGGGGCCAAGACCCTCCATCGCCTGTGGAGATGGGACCCAAGGAATGGGTCCATTTGGGAGACTCCAAACTACCCCCCGCTCCCCAGGGACTCACAGAAGAGGGGCGGCAGATTGGAGGACAGGGGCTCAAAGGGCAGCAGGGGATCCCTGGGGCTCCTGAGAGAGACCCCATCTTCCTGCTCGGGGTCTTGCTTGAATAGCCTAAATTTTGCCCAGGTGGGAGAAGTTGGAAAAGCTCCAGGATGCAACGGTGGCCTGAGTTGGGGTGCCACAGATCGAGGCCCCCCCAAAAGGGCGGTTGGGGAGCTGACCCATCAGGAAGGAAGACTGGGTCCCACGCAGTTCCTCCACATCAGGCACACTCCCACCTCAGGACCTTAGCACCTGCCGTTCCCTCTGCCTGGCACGCCCCTCCTCCATAAAGCTTCGAGGTGCCCTTCTTCCCCTTCCTCTGGGTTGTCCAATATCAGCTTCCTTGAGACCTGCCCAGCCTCCCTTTCTAAAAGGCACCCTCCGCAACACTTCCTGACCCCTTAACTCACTCCATTTATCTCCTTAGCACATATCACTGATGGCTTACTCATATTAACATCGTTATCTCATTGATTCTTTCCCTTCCCCCATGACACTGTAAGGCCCCCAAGGTCACGGGGCTTGTCTCTTTCATATACTCACAAAGTCAGGTGGTGGGTGTGTTCCATTCATTGCTTCACCCCCGGTGCCCAGAGCAGTGTCTGGCACACAGCAGGTCTTCAACGAACATTTGTTAAATGAATCAGTGCAGGGGCCTGGGGGGAGTTGCTTTAATCCAGGCTCCTAAGGGACATCTTGGGGGCCTCTAAGTGCTATCTGGACATTCAGGGGGACTTGGGGGGGGGAATCTTGGCCTGGGTTTCTGGGTGGCCCCACATCTGAGCCTCCTCTGTAGTAGGGGTTGAATAAGAAGTAGGGACTGTAGGGTCAGTGCTAACCTGCATTCTGAGACCAGAATGGGGGCAGAGGGAAACTTGCCTCTCTCTTCTATGCCTAGACCCACTATTCTCTGACCCCTTGGCCCAGCTGCCCATCCTCCCCAGAGAAGGAGCTGGAATCTCAAGCGGCTGTCCTAAGGTGAGAGCTGGTTTAAGCTGAGGGTTACGCAGGCCTCAGCCCATCCTGTCTCCCTTCCCAGGACCTTGGCATTCGCCCTAGGCGGAGGCTGCTACGGACCCGCGCCTCCTGCTCACTGGGCCACTCGGGAAAGGCCCCTCCTCTCTGAGCCTCAATCTTCCGCCCCGTGAATTGCAGATAGCAAAAATGCCCCCGGCGAGGGGTTGCTGGAAGACAGGACATCAGCTACCATGCCCATTCTGCTCTTACGGTTGAGGTTTTAAGAGAAAGAGGCAAGAGCGGCTGAGCAGATGTGCATCTGCAGGTGTCTGAGACGGCTCAGGTGGGCTTCTGGGCTGAGAGATCGAGTTGCAACACACATTTGTTGCATACGACACATCCACACACACACACCTGTAGGGCTTACCTGTCCACCTGGACTTCCGCATCTTTCGTCTGGGCCTTGGGAGGCCCCCCTCCATTGATCTCTTTGCTCCCGCTGTTGAGAAGGCTCAGTACAGGTTCTATCTCTTTGAGCAAATCACTCTTCTGGTTGTCCTGGATGACAACTCCCACGCTCTTCTTGGCGGGGTCCTGGGCCGGGGGCCTGGGAGCCAGGCTGTTGGTACCTGGGACAGAACCGGCTTCGTGCCCGCTATCTGGGGCGAGCCGTGGCCCATTGCCAGCACCCGTGGCCCCGTCCGCTGCCAGTGTGTGCTCTCTGCTGCCCGATGACTGGTGAGACAGATCGACAGCGGTGGGGGGGGCGGCCAGGGGCCGTGTCACCCGGATGGTCCTGGGGGTCCCGTCCCCAGTGAAGGTGGTCTCCAGGTGAGTGGTGAAGCCCTCAGGGCCCCGCAGAATGAGGACCACGTGCGTCTCAGAGGCGATGCCCCTGAGCACCTCAAGGGCGCTCTCATAGCTCAGGTCCACCAGGGGCTGGCCGTTAACTGCAAGGATGATGTCCCCGGCCTGGATGAGGCCGCTCTGCTCCGCGGCCCCACCTCGAATCAGGTCCGAGATGATCACGGGGGGCTTGCTCACCCGCTCCTTCACCAGGAACCCCAGGCCCCCCACCTTCCGCTTGAAGAGGCGGACGGAGATGACGTTGGGTTGGATCTGCTGAACGCTGAACACCTGACTCTCCATGGCATCTAGCATCCGTGTGTCTGAAGACCTCAAAATACGTCGGGCCACCAGGGTTCCACCAGGAAAAGCCAGGCTCTGGGGTGTACAGAAAGGAAGGGCCGGGGGCCAGTGCTGGGACAACTCCGGAATGAGCTGCTCCGGGGCTTTGTCTCCTCCGCCTTTGACGTCAATGCGGCATCACCCACTCATTGCCACCCGGCCGTCAGTGGCATGATTTCCCGTGTCTGCCTTCCTCCTTGTTCTCTAGGAAGTGATGGCTGATCAGGCGGATGTCAGGACCGGCCGTGGGACGTGTCCCTAAGCAACAGGTCAGGCAGACCGGGGAGGGGATGCGTCTGGTCGATGTGCCTAGATGTGTCTAGAGGTGACGCAAGCTTCGGCACGCTATTCTCTGGGCACCGCCGGCCCGTCAGGCCTGTGCTGGAGAGAAGGAATGAGGGAGGGGACAGAGAGAGTTACAAAAGGGAGATTGATGTGGAGGACCTGACACCGCCTTCAAAACCGAGATGGGAAATGCAGCTGGCTAAGTCCAATGCAAGACACTGGAGCTTGGAAGCCAACCTAGAAATGAAATCCTTCCTCCTCGAGGGGAGGGGGTGAGGGACCTTCCCACTTAGCTGCTAACGTCCTCGTTTCATCTCCCATAATCAAAGCCTTCCAAGACCGAGGGTCTCCCTGAAAACCCACTGATATCCATGGAAATCAGATACCAAGAATGACGATCTTATCTCTTATCTCTTTCCCACCTCATGAAAACAACCTGTCACATGGTCTTTGGTTTTCTGTGTTTTATAAACATTTTCAACTCATGGGTCAGGAGCTCAGCCAGCACGGATCTTTGGGCTCTCTGTCCCAGCTATTCCCAAAGTCCCCATGACAAACCGACTGGAAGGGGGAGGGCCATCCACCAATGATGTCAATTGGCCTTTCTGACCATTTTCATCATTGGCGACTTGTTCCTGGCTCAAAGGACAGACTTGGCCACATTACAAACCATTATAAACCAAATTTGATATAATAAATACAGAGGACATAGGTCCATACAAAACTTTAGAGGGCATCTGTATTCCACAGACTACCCGAAACTCTAATAGGAAAACATGCAGAAGAGCAGACTGGGTCCCCCTAAGGGTTGGCAGAAGCACACAGCAGGTGCTCAGTGAGCATTTGTTGATTGAAGAAAAATCCAGAAAGATTAAATTTATTGGGGGGCGCCTGGGTGGCTCAGTCGACTGAGCGTCTGACTTCGGCTCAGGTCATGATCTCACCGTTCACGGGTTCAAGCCCCGCATCTGGCTCTGTGCTGAGCAGCCCTGCATCTGGCTCAGAGCCTGGAGCCTACTTCAGATTCTGTGTCTCTCTCCCTCTCTGACCCTCCCCTGCTCATGCTGCCTCTCTCTTTCTCTCTCTCTCTCTCTCTCAGAAATAAATAAAAACATTAAAAAATTAAAAAAAAATTATTGAGCATGTACACTCCTAAGGTGTAACTGTTTTTCTCCTTTGATCCTCACGATTACCCTTCAGTAGAGGAGAAGCCTGGAAAGGGTAGTTTAATTACTTGTCCCAGGTCATGCAGAAACGATGGGAAAGACAGGCTTTGAGCTCGGGCGTGCCCCACTCTTGAGCCCGAGCTTTCACGCTTACACTCTAGTTTTAAAATGTTCATATTCTGGTTATTTTCTCCACTCTCCCCAGTTCCCCCAGGCTTGGAGAAATAGAGTATTGTCGAGGGTACCAAGCCACAACAGGAGACGCTATGGCCCAGGTGGGGCGTGTGCACCTGTGGGATGCACACACAGCGGGCAGCTATCAGTATGTCCTATGGGTCTGGGTCGGAGCGGGTCGTCTGTGGGTTGTGGGTGGAGTGTGGGCAGGCGGGAGGCAGCAGAGAGCCCCTCCATCTTTCTCTATCCCCCGGTTCAAGTCCTCTCCCAGCTCTATCTGGACACTCTTCCCTGCCGGCATCCTCACCACGCTTCGCACAAGGAGGGAGCCCCCATCTGCCACTGCCAACAAAGTGACACTCCCTCCCTTGTTTCCCTGTTAGTGAATTCCCAGGGTCATCCGGGGGCTGAGGCAGCTGACAAGCTCCCACCGCCGCTGTGAGGAGATGGGTGCAGACAACCCCGGGAAGGAGGTGCCGCTTCCTGGATCCCCTCAAGGCGGGGCGGTTAGCAAGTCAGCCTCCCCCCTTGCAGCTTGCGTTATGTAACTCCGCCAGCCCCTCTGTGTGTGGGTGAGGGAATAATGAATACCCAGGCCCAGCCCGGGCTGCGTTCTCCATCTGGCGTCGCTGTGTGTGTGTGTTTCTCTCTGTGTATTCATGCGTCGCCCTCATGCTGTGTCATTTCTCGGCGGTGCGTGTGAGCGTGTGTGGCCCGAGTGTCGACCAGCGGAGTGCCTTGCCAGCATTCGGCAGAGAAAACCGACCACAGCCCCTGTGCCTTTCCTCACTGGGAGGGCTGGTCCCTCCCCGCAGCCGCTTTGCTTCCTTCACTCTCCCCAAGCCCCATTTCTTCTGTGTACCGAACCCAGGATGTCTGTTGTTTAGGTAGAAGCAGAGACAGCTGGGACCTCTAGATCCCTCTCTAGTCCAAGTTAGGCAGTGGACTCTGTTCTTTAATTAAGGAAGGGATTCACAGGTAAGCACTTACCCCCCCCCCGCCCCCCCCATTCTAGCTTGGGCCAGACCTTGGGGAGGACAGAGCCTGGGCTTGGCTTAAGAAAAAAGAAAAAGAATAAAGCCATCCATACACCTTCCCAGCCGCGCTCAGCTTTTCCCCTTTCTCAGGGAGGGCTGCTGGCTGGTGCTTGGGAAACTGGGGTGCTCTTTCTCAGACTCAGGCCTTAGAAAGGCAACTTGATCTTTGGAAGAAACTGGAAAGAGGCTGGGCTTGGGAGGTGGAGGAATACTCAGTGTCTTCTGAGACAGACAGAGAGACATAGAGAGAGAACAAGCCTCCATCTCAGCCACCAGACTCTGAGCACTTACCAGGGTCTATTTTGGTCCTAATAATCACACTACACTTTGTCTCCCTCCTTTTCCTCCCCAAAGCACATCTTCACCTGCTGCCATATTTTTATCCTCACTCTGACCAGGGTCAGGTTCGAATATCCACATTTTACAGATGACGAAATTAAGTTGCTACAGGGAGACCGACTTGTCCCAGCTTGTGAATGTTCAGCATCCAGGACACTTCCGGGTCAGCTAGGGTGGCTGGTTGCCCTTCTGCCACAGGGGAGATTCAAAAAAAGTTTTTTTTAATGTTTATTTATTTTTGAGAGAGAGAAAGGAACAGAGAGAGAGAGACACACATACACAGAATCTGAAGCAGGCTCTGAGCTGTCAGCACAGAGTCCAACGTGGGGCTCGAATCCACGAACTGTAAAGATCACGACCCAAGTCGAAGTCTAGAGCTTCACTGACAGAGCTACCCAGGTGCCCCCACAGGGGAGATTTTTAAGGCCCTTTCCGGCTCTCTGTTTCCAGGAGTTCTTTATTTTCCCAGAACTTCTATTTCCTTATCTGTAAAATGGGGTTGGAAGCAATTACCGCTTCCCTGGGTAACCGGGGGATTAAATAAAATAGCGAAAGCAGGGTCCTCAGCAGTATCACACAGCGGATGCTCCGAAGAAACGGCTTCCTGGGGCGCCTGGGTGGCTTAGTTGGTTAAGCTTCCGACTTTCGCTTAGGTCATGATCTCACGGTTCGTGGGTTCGAGCCCCGCGTCGGGCTCTGTGCTGGCTGCCGGCTCAGAGCCTGGAGCCTGTTTCAGAGTCTGTGACTCCCTCTCTCTCTGACCCTCCCCTACTCATGCTGTCTCTCTCCTAGAAATAAATAAAACATTTAAAAAAAATTAAAAAAAAAAAAAGAAACGGCTTCCTGTTATTGTTACGTAAAATGTAACGATTCGGGCTTCCTGGCTTTTAATTTTAATTTTCTACACCATCACAGTTTTGCCAGAGGTAGTTCACGTGCCACCTAGGGGGGTCCTTTGCTGGAAATCACAAGGCAGAATCTGGCGCTGGTCGCGGTCCAGGGCTCTGAACGCAAGGAGCCGGGTGCTGGGTAGTGTGCCTGCCAAGCCAGCCTCCACCCTTCGGAGCCGGGGGTTGGAGACAAATCACATGCGTGCACGCCCTCGTACATACCATGGAAACAATACTTGGACCCGGGCCTCATTCGAGTAGTTCAGTGGTTTCGAGTGTATTTGTTTCATTTACCTTGCTGAGAGGAAATTAGCGGGCTGACTTTTGGGACGATTGCCAGCGAGAAGGAGGGACCCAAAATAGGCCAGCGTCTGCTACTACCATCTCACTCTGTGACCTTGGGCAAGCGGCCCCGGGTTCCGGGCTGCATTTTTGCAACCAGAAGTGTGGGGAAGACAGCCGATTCAGGTGGAGAGCTTCCTATGTGCTAAGCATGGCGCCCTCTGCATGGGCGCCTTATTGATCCTGGCAGCGGGTGTAAAGAGAAACTGCCATCCCCCCCTTCCCCATGACAAGGTGACTGAGGTTTGGAGAAGTGAGCCCAGGAGGCAAGCTTGCGTCTGGCAAGTGGACACTGAGCACTCACCAGGGTCATTCCTAATCCGGATACCGACCCCACAACACGCTTCCTTTATTTTCCTCTCCTTCTCTCCAAAGCACACCCCCATCAGCTGTCATAGTTTTCATCCTCACCCTGATCAGGGTCACATTAGATTGTCCCCATTTTACAGATGTGGAGATCAAGCTGCTATATCAGACCTGATTGTCCTGGCTGGTCCGTGACTTTCCACTTATAGCACCGGAAGTCAGAGGACGTTAGGGGGAAGGGCAGCCAGTGAGACTATCCAACCCAACTTCCATTCCAAAATGAGCAATCAAAGGCCTGGAGAAGCAAGGGGCTCATTCAACATGGATCAATCAGTGACAGGTGGGGGGTCTAGGGCCGTGCCCTCCAGTAGGGCAACCACTAAGCCACATGGGGCCACTGAACTCCTTAACCGTGGCCGGTTCCCCTGAGATGTGCTGTAGGAGCGAAATACACGTTGGGTTTCAAAGGCTTGTACGAGAAAAAGAACAGAGGTGCCTGGGTGGCTCAGTCAGTTACACGTCTGACTCTTGAGTTTGGCTCAGATCATCATCTCACGGTTTGTAGGATCGAGCCCCGCATCAGGCTCTGTGCTGACAAGGGCGGAGCCTGCTTGGGATTCTCTCTCCACACCCCCCCCCCGCCCCTCCCTTGCTCATGC